CGCTAGGCAACTATTTTCCTAGTTTTTGGGTACTATTTTCATGTTTTGGGCTAATATAAGCAACTATTTTGTTCAATTTTTTCTGTGGCAACCCTGTTATATATATTCTAATTTATTACTTTCCAATATATTATTTGCCTTTTTAGTTGTGATATTGCACAATAAAATGAGTTATTTGTATATAATATGAAACCTGGGGTACCAACTATTACAAATTATCCATAATTATTACGATTTCATAGTGAAGATTACGGTTTAGTAATAATAATTACTGTTTTTGAGATTTTCTGTAATCTGTTTAAATTAATTTTCCCCCTCTTCACTACCAAAAGTTTTGTTTCCAACAGATCTACCATAATTTTTTTTCTTCCCCTTAAACAATTCTAAAAGCAGTAAATAAAAAAAATTATTTGTTAGAAACAAGAAATGAAAATAGCAAAGAAATCTTATCTTACTTTCCAACAAGTTATCCTGGTCCAGATATAAATACAACAACTTAAAAACTTACGATTTTAAAAGAATCTGTTCGATTTTTTAAATATTTCTTTCATTGTAAAAGAAATAAGAAAAACTAGACTTATCAAAGTCAAAACAAGTATGTTTTTATTCAAAAATTCTGAAACGTGTTTCAAACGAAAAGGAGTTAGAGTGAGAAAAGGTCTTAAATTAATAGCTTTCACTTTAAATTTGCATCATCGAATATGGAGTAATAAAGTCGTATTCCATTTTATTTTCAGATTGCAACAAATCTTTATAACAATGACTATTAATTTATTTTAAAAAGTTATCAAAATACTCATTAAATTTGGGTTTTTTATTCACTAATTTTTATTGCATAGTTTTGATATATTTTAAATTTCAGTTATTTTTAAATGCTTAAATCATCTTTTTATTTTGAAATGATAAAACTTAATACTTCTTAAAAATCACAAAATTTGTTAGTTTGATTGTAAAGACCATTCATTAATTACTCATTGTTCAATTTATAATCTTGTTTTAGTCTTGTCTTTCATTTTTGCTGTCGCTTTTTTTGTTGTTGTAATATTTTCAATTTTTGATTGGAAAAATTATATTAAAGATAAACTTAGTGTCATTTCTCAGTTGTAAATTTTTCTCTTGTTCATTAAATTGCATTGTTTTTCATTTCTTATACATTTCATTTATTGTGAAATTATAAGTACTTTTACAATGTGCAATAAATTTTAGTAACTGTTTAATTTCTCAGTATCTTTCCCCTTTTATTTTGATCTTTGTTTCCAGATTATGATATATTATGTATACTTATTGTCTGTTTATTTTTGTATATATTTATTCTCATCATATACAATTTAGTTCCTTTCAAACATATTTCGATTTATCTTTGTATTGAAGGATTGATTTCCCAAGACAAGAAAATTCATGTTCCGAGGATTCTCATTATATGTGCGCAAAATTATACCGTTTAAGATCATTTCTGATCAACTTATCCTCATTTTGATTTTTTATTTGAAAATAATTGATGTTGTCCATATTTCTTTTTAAGAAATGTTGTGGAGAATTAAAGACATATGCTGCTCAATACAAAACTTTCAAACTAATAGATTGCACTATTTGTTTATCCTTCATTTATCCTTCTTAAAAATGATCTAAAATTACACAAAAAAGTATGTCCTGATTTTTAATTTGAACCACTTACAAAGCCTGGAAACTCTTGGGACTTTATCTACTCTCTTTATAGAAAAGCAAAAAGATACAATTCAAATCAGAATTTTTAGTAGTTAAAATACAGGACAATAAAAAGAGGCTCTAATTTAATCAAAAATTCAAACATTGATTCTGAATGATCAATTTTATAATAAAGTATAAGGTTTCAGTGCTGTATTAATTTAGTGCCTTAATCTAAGCGTAACTTTATAAATGTTAAGTCACGCATAATTTTATTAACATTCTATATACAATTGAGTATGCCTTAAAATTGAGCTAATTTGAATTTTAAAAATGTATATATTTTGTTATTATATTTCTGATTACCGATAACTAGTTTTGTTTTATTTTATAACCGGCGTTAAACAGCCGACCCGATTTTTCGGGTTTGCGGCCACTGATGTTCAACTCCGTAGCCTTGTCATTTTTAACCCTATCCAGAAGGCAAGGGAACTCCTGGATCAAGTATTGGGAGAAATTTTCCTTCATGGAGGACTTTTTGAATGAATTAACTTGTATTTGCGTTACATGCAGAGGAAAACCAAGAAGACCTCCCACAGGTAGCTCAATGCAGGGTGGCCACCCACCTGGAAAACCTGGAATTATCAGGGAATTTTTTTATACTGGAAAAAACCTAGAAATATCAGGGAAATTTGGATAAAAACCTGGAAAAATCAGGGAATTTTAAATTTCCAGCTTTTCTTTGATCATTTTTTTAATTTCACCAATTTAAATTATTTACTAATTTTCTTAATTTAAATTATTTCATCCAATATACCCACTTTTTTTAAATGTAAATGTATCGCCAAACAGTTGAAATATCATCAACTTAGCGATACTCTGCTTGCATCAAAATTTGCTCCGTTACAGCTCTGTTAAACTAGAATGCTGCATAAAATTCTGCCACGGTTGCTAAACGAATGTAGAAACCTTTGACTGCTATGGGACTGTGCAATTTAGGAAAGTTTCTGGTGGAGGTGGAAAAAGGGATTAGGAAATTAGCTTCTGTTTTTAAATTCTGTCCTTGGGCTGAATCCATTTATGGTTCAAGTTTGTTCCGATGCTTTGGTGGTAATTTTTTTTTCTATTTTGACAAAATGTTTTTGTATTTTTAATTGTATGAAATTCTCCAAAAATGAGTTGGTTATAATTTAATAATAATAGACTTTATTAAATTATAACTATGTATCATTAATAATAGACACCCTTTTTTGGAAAGCTTTTCTACTCCCATTCAAAGAAATCTATGAATTATTTTTTCTCAGCAAACCAACCAATCACATTTTTTTACAATCGCTCATGTATGTCGACAAATCTTTACAATTGTTGTATTAATGATTTTTGATTCAAAATTTTGTACCAAAACATTAAAGATTAAATAAAAAATCTTGCCAAATAGTAAAAAAAAAATATTTTTTTCAAGATGATATGTTAAAAAAATAATATTTTGAATAAAATATTTTATAATACCGACACTTTTCTTGTACACATCCTACACGTTATTTTTATCTGGAAAACCTGGAAAAATCAGGGAAATTTGAAATCTGATTTGAGTGGCCACCCTGCAATGGTAAGAGGACTCTATTTCATGATCCGTCTATAACTGAGAATATTTTACACCAGCACTGTTGTCGGTGCAAGCCGGGTGTGGAATTCGTATTGACCAGCCATCGCTGGGATTCGAACCCTGTTCATCTTGTTGGAAGGCGGACACTCTATCCCCTGAGTCATCACGGCTTCGATAACTAGTTTGGAAAGTTTACACCCCAGTTTAAAAAAATAACAGTATTTTATTGTTTGTTCTTATTCCTGAATTGTGTTTCTAATAGAACAATCAGAGCTGAAGAAAATGTGAGATCCCCTCCGCAGTCTCATCAAGAAGAGGATTATGAGATTTTGTATTCTGATTTGGAACCAGCAATTGCTGAAGCTAGATTTTCCATGCCATTGGTTGATATTGATACTCCTGGTCCTGTAACTGACACCCAACAGCCAGAGAGAAGATCACATCGGATGCCTGAAGGTTGCTTTCTCTATGTCATATATTTTTTTAAATTGAAATATGAATTATTTATGCATTTAAAAAAAAACAATTATTCTTTTATCCAAAAATCTATATGAAATCCTTTATAGTATCATTTTTTTAAAAAATATTTTTGAGATTATAATTGGTTTATAAAACGAAATTAATTTATTACCTAAAACTAATTTAATTTTTAAGGCCGTTTTTGCGATAGGAAGATGGATGGGATTTTAAAAGTTCTATTGACTTTGAAAGTAATGGTCATAAACCTGAACTTCTATGCCTATAAATAACCAAATTTATAAATTCTGTGTTTAGAATTACAAAAAGAACTCAATGAAACATGTAATGTAGAACAGAAAACAGCTCCCTGTGTTGCCTTTGTTTGATGCAGCACAAACCTGCTGTGTTCCCAGATATATGTAAACAGAGCCGTTTATTCTTAAATTTTATTTATATCCTTAATATGTATATATATTTATTTAATTTTCTAAATTATCAGTTGATGGACAGTATGCTTTCAATAAGCAATAAAAACTCACCCATTAAAAATTTTAGCCTACTGGTTAACTCAAAAGTAACAAAAATTTTCAGAACTTTTTTTTTGTATGATTTAGTTCTACCAATTGTTTATCTTTTAGTTTGAGATTTTAAATATTTGACATTTCAAAGAGTATTTAATACCTACAAATAATTGCAGCACCCCTCCATGTTTTCATTAAATTGTTATAGATGAAGAATTGTTTAAAAATCTGAACTTTGACTTTATGATTTTGAGTAGAAACAAGTTTAAAGATGCTTTATAAACATTCACTGTGTTTTATAAAATAGTTTGCTTTGTTAAGGAAGTAAAAGGAGCAAAAGTTTATAAACTAAACACAATAAAATAAGCAAAATACATTACTCAAACAGGCAATCCTTCCTATGCTGTGTGATCTTCCGCAGCTATTTTTAGAATCACATCTATTTTCCACATCTGTTTGTATCTATTTTTTTAGAAGTAAATCAATATTTTTTAAACAAAGTACTTTTTTCTCTTCTCAATAGTATTATTAAAATAGTGATAGAAACTCAATGTTTGTAAAATACCACCTATTTTAATACTTTATGTAAAATATGTCTGTAAACAAGGTTGCTACCTGTTAAAATTGACCCAATAAATCAGGAAAATTTAAGGAGTTTTAGTGATCATCCTGAAATAATTTTTTGTAACACATGAAACTGATGTGGAAAACAAGTGTTTACCTTTTCATATAATCATAACATTTCAGAGTGTTTTGTTTCACCTGAGCGTACTCCACCTCCACCATCTCCACCTCCTATGAGTGAAATTCTGGACGAAGCTTATGAATTGATCAAGGAGACTGCTGGTGCTAGCATCATACCCAATGTCACCACTTTCAGTGCAGTGCTGAAGAAAACACATGCCACTAAGAAACGTGTAGCCTCTCTTTTCAACTCATTGCTCAGTAAGAAAATTCTTTCTCATTGCTTTAAAATGTTTTATTATGCACTCCAGAGCATTAAATGCATGATATTTTCGAAGAGTCACCTTTAACGTTTTTAAATCTTAGTAGAGATCTTCCCTGTTTTATTATGACACATTGCTTGTTTTCAATTTGATCAATTTTACTATGTCTGATTACTTGTTAAGAATTCGCCAAATGTTATTTTCTTAGACAATGAAAAGTGCATCAGCTTCAGGATTAAAAGTACTTGTTCTAGTCTTAAATTAGATACAGAAAATTTTTAAACTAATCAACTCAGAACTAAAGCAGGTGGTGATTCATTGTTTATTGTCCATTTAAAAAAAAAGATTCAAATTTAAATTTTTTTTTATGTTTAGTAATACAACTTAGTTTTTATGTGCCTTTTTATGTTTATTTTCTTGAAAATTTGAATCACTTTAATATGAAAGCATGACTTTTAGCATTCATTTTCAAGTTTTTGCAAATCTTTAGTAATCATTCAGTTTTTATACATTACTTTTTATGAGGTGTATCTAATGAATATTGAATACTACTGTTATGTACATAGCTGCCAACTTTTACGCATTTTGTGTAAAATTTGTGTTTTTACATTTAAATGGGTAGTAAAATGTATGCTTCGTATTTCTTTCTGGGATTTTTTAATTTAATTTAAAATGGTTTTGAACACCACTACTTATAAGTGCATGATAATATACAATATTATTTTTGAAGAAAACAGATATTTCTGTTTATAATGGTAATTCAATTTTTATTTTACTTTCGCCGGAAAAAAATCATCCTTCGAGAGACTAAAATTTGACAGGTTTTCAGTGAAAAAAAGAAAAACAGCTTTTAAAAAATGGTTCCCTTTTTGTGTGTAGATAGCCTCAGAACGGATATTATTAATGGGGCTAACTGTAATAGAAGTTCAGGATGATCCTCTTGCTTAGTAGCACGGGATTTCAAATCCTCATTGAAACTGATGTTCTCAAATGATATCGTAGGAGGCAAACAGCTAAAAGTCAACGATAGAACGATTTTAAAATTCATAGAACCATGTTTCAAGAAAAGTTCCTTGAAAAAGTTTTCAATCGTTTTTCAAGAAAAGACCATGTGACTAGGTAATTCAATTCAGTGTCAAATAGTTTCGTATTGTAAGATAATAAGCTACTGTTTTCAAAAAATCTTGAGAAAAACTTTTAAAATCTTTTTTTTAATTTTATATATTTTTAACTGTTCATTCACTAGTTTACCTATCAAGTGTTCTAAACTTTTGTTTTTAGTTGAGAATAATAATAATAATAATTAAATAAACTAAGTAAATAAATAAAAAAATAACACTTCAATGTTATATTTTTTTATTTATTTGTGAATTTGTGTATAATATTATTAATATTAGGTCTCATAGTAAGATAATAAAATTAAGTATATGTTCACGCAATCCAAAAGTGTCTCCAGACTCATAGTATTTGAGTACAGAATGATTGACAAAAAACATTTAACTATTTAACATATTTATTTATTCGTGACAAAGCAAAATATTCATGCACGTTAACATTAAGAACATTAGAGGAAGATTAATCTAAATAGTTATAAGAAAGAACTGCATTGATATTAGTACTAAACATACCATAACTAGTAAAAAAACCCGGTTATTTTTGTTGTACTGTATTGTAAAGTGTTGGCACGTTTAGTGTTAAGTAATTATTATCATATTGAGAATGAAATAATATTAATGATTTTGCTCCCGTAATTCTTCACAACTTTTTTTGTCAAACTTCGGTAATTATGTTTCATTTTTATTAACAAATGAAATTACTTTAAAAGATTTCCTACTGTCACTGTAATTGTTTATTTTCATTGTAAAGTGATAGTCGCCAACAATGGGATCACTAATTTTTGGGGTAAATGAGCAGTTTCATCTTTTCTCTTCAGTAGAAGCACGCATACAACTAAACAACCTCCCATAAATTTGATTATGTTGTCTGCTTTTTTCCCTACCTACTTTTTTTTTCGTGGATAACTTTTTGTAATGTTACGAGAAAAAAAGTTTCCACAAATGTAGAGAATCTCTACCAATGCATCCGTGCGTCTATGTTAGATTAGAATCAAGTAGTAAATACACTGATTTGAATTTTGTTAACATGAATTATTGTACTTCAGATTATGGAAAGTTGAATCTCTGTTATAAAATAATCTGTATAACGTAGGTGCCACTCTTCAGTCTTGAGGACTGAAATCAGTTCACTGATTTTCCATCCTCCAATAAATATTTATTTTTGATTTGTTTTCCAAATTAAGTTAAAAATATTAACTTTTATTTTAAAAATGTATAAAGATTGTTTTCTGTTAAAATAAATAAATTTTTTTTATTATTTTTAATAAAAACATAGTTTTCTTTCATATTTATCGCAACATGATCATGTAATTATATCACATCACAATAAAAGAATTAAATTGACTGAATTACTTTAGTTTGTGTTTCTTATGAGGCATTTTTAAGATAATAGGCAAAGTTAAAATAAGATTATTTTTAAAAATATTAAATGGGTCGATTTTGGACAAAGTATTTATAATAAAATGTAAAATGAGTAGAAATATAAATAACTCCAAGAAAAAGTTAGTGGTGCAATTCAGCAAGTAGCAAAAAAAACAACAAAAAAAAAACAAGGTTAGCTTTTTTTGTTGTTGTTTTAGAAAAAAAACCAATACAATGAAGAAAATATGTTTTTGAAAAAATAATCAATCATTGGTATAATATGTGGACCACTACTATGGAAACTGAGCTATAAATTTCTGAATATTTTTTTAAGTAGTGCTAGACCCTGTTAATTTGTCAAAAAGTAAGTTCAGCCTTAAAATTTTTCTAAAGTGGCACCATAGTATTATGATTAAAAAGTTTGTTTTTATTAAACATTGAACATCAAACATTGTTTCAATTTAAATCCTATCTAATTAAAATAAAGCTCTTTGAAAAAAAATTAAGCTTTTACACATAATTTGGAGAATTTACTTATTAAGAACATAGTTCTTAAAAATCTTTTTAGGTTTTCATAACTGCAGTGTAAAGAACCAATTCAGATTATTTCTTTCTCTTAATTTGATGTGAACGTGGATAATATAAAACTGATTAATTGCCTCTTTTATCATTCTAACAAGTTTTCATAGTTTTTCTTAATGTAGCACAAATGAAAGTTAGTTTCAAAGCATCGAACTCCATGAAGACAAGTTAGTCTAAATACTACTTTTAGAAGTCTTTTGAGCTGGATTTAAAATTTTAAGACTATGAAATTGGAACAATAGTACTAGAAATCCCCAAATAAAGCAACAAAGGAACTATAATATGTAGGTAAAATTCCCAACCCAATGGGGAGAACTGCAACAGGGATTTAAAAGGATATTGATGTAATAAAATTAAACAGCAAGATTTGTAGGACACATTTTTTGTTTAAATACAACTAGCCCAACACATGAAAAATTCAAGCACAAACAAATTGGTTACAGGGCTAAAAGACTTCCAAAACTTCCACTCCATTATCATTTTAAAACCATCAGGGTATTGAACTGGTAAGACCTGGTAAAAAAAAAAAAACATAGAGAAATGTTCTAGAGAATGCCAGAAGCAAAGGAGGATGAAAATTCCCAACATTAACAGCCTTACGTGATCTATATTGGAGCATTAAAATAAAGTAGAATTCATTGTAGTTTTTTTTTTCTTGTTAAGCATTCTCTGGAACATTCCTCAAATTTTTTTTTGTAACAATTTACACTTTAGTAAAAAAAAAAAATTTAAAATAAATAAAACTAATCAAAACTGAATGGTTCTTTAATATAATATATTTTATGATGCCATTTCAAAATTAATTTCTTTTAATCATAGGTCTCCATGCAGAAGGAAAAATCATTGTACAACAGCCAATGGCAGGGGCAGAAATTTTCATTGAACTTTAATCTTAAATTTCATCTTGTATTTAAGTTTACGTTCTTGGCTCAATTTTTTGCAATATCATAATTTTCCTGTTTTACAATTTCTGTGATTTCATTTATATTTAACTTTTATATTTTAGTATTTTTATTGATATTTTTTATTTATATTTTATACTGCATTTGTTTACTGCTGCATTTTTCATGTCATTTTACATATTTGATCTTTTTAAAAAAATTTTTGTGATACATTAATTTTATATTGATGAAAAATTTCATCTTTTATTGTCATTGTACTCTACTGGGCGGCTTATTTTTTTTTTTTATTTTTTTTTTTGTGGTAAGAAGTGTTTTCTGTCTATATCTTTTTTCTTTGTCTTTTTTTTCAGTTATAGTTCCTGTGATTTCATTTATTTTTAACTGTTATTTTTTAGTTTATTGAGATTTTTTATTTCTTTGTTATACTGTATTTGTTAACTGCTACATTTTCCATGTATTTTATCGTTTTCAGTGTTATATGAAATTCATATTCAACCTATGAAAGAACTGATATATTTTACCTAATTGCATAAAATGAATTTTTTTAAAAAATAATACTTTTTTTCCCCTTAATGCTATTTTGAATAAATGTTGCTTTTCTGAACATATTTCTCAGTTTAACTTCTAAATTTTTTTTATTGCAAACCTTTGATCGTATTTTACTTTTATGGCTTTCAGAATCATGAAATCAAAATATTTAAATTAAATAGATAAAAACAAGATTAAACATCTGTGCTCGGGTGCAGCCTTTAAAAGGTATTGAATTCATTAAAAATAATTAAAATCCAAATAAAATGTTTTTTGGAAATATTTCTAGTTTCTTTTGCAAATTATACACTTCATTGTTTTCTGGACCAACTTTACGAATTTCATGATGCTTAGAACTTTATCGCATTTCAAAATTTTTTGAGACTTTAAGGTCAGAAATGTAAAAACTTTTGAAACTCAGAATGAAACTTTTATATATCAGTATATTTAGTATTTTTATTGAGATTTATTTATATGTTATACTGTATTTGTTTACTGCTAAATTTTTCATGTCATTTTGCATATTTTATAATTTTAAAATTTTTTTTAGTGATGCATAAATTTCATGTTCATGAAGAATTTCATCTTTTATTGTCATTGTACTCTGTTTTAAGTGGTTGGCTTAATTTTTTTGTGATAAGAAGTCTTTCCTGTTTTTATCTTTTTTTTAAAGGTATAGTTCCTGTGATTTCATATTTTTTATTTTAAACTTTTATTTTTTTAGTTTATTAAATTTTTTTATTTCTTTGTTATACTGTATTTGTTAACTGCTACATTTTTCATGTATTTTATATTTTTAAAAGTTTTCAGTGTTATATAAAATTCATATCCAACTCATGAAAGAACTGACATATTTTACCTAAGTGTATGAAATGTATTTTTTTAAAAAAAAAAAAAAACTTTTTTCCCCTTGATGTTATTTTGAATAAATGTTGCTTTTCTAAACATATTTCTCAGTTTAACTCTAAATTTATTTTTATTGCAAACCTTTGATCGTATTTTACATTTTATGGCTTTCAGAAGCATGAAATCAAAATATTTAAATAAAATAGATAAAGACAAGAGTAAACATCTGTGCTCGGGTGCAGCCTTTAAAAGGCATTGAATTCATTAAAAATAATTAAATTCCGAATAAAATGTCATTCTTTATTAAACATTTCTACTTTTTTTGCTAATTAAGGACCTCATTGTTTTCTGGACCAACTTTACAAATTTCATGATACTTAGAAATTTATCACATTTCAAAATTTTTCAAGACTTTAAGGTTGGAAATGTAAAAATTAAAAAAAAAAAACTCTAGAAAATATTCTAGAAAGAACCTCTTTCTGACGACAGGCTGTGCCTTGTCCGGCCGAAATAATATAGAAGGAGCTACGATTTAGAGCCAGAGCATTTTATTTCTTAAAGCCTTTTGAAGCTTGGTCATAACCAACCATTTGTTCTGAGTATGTTTGTGTAATTTTACATCTCAATGCATACGTCATCGACAGTCCATACGAGAGCTGGCGACAATGTGCATGCTTTAGGACATATCTGTAAATTACAATTGGACCTTTGAAAAGTAAAAAAAATTGAAATTGAAAATGTGCTCGATATTCATTCCATCGAATTCATGGACTACCCTATTTTCCTATTCGGGAGAGTCCCTCAGTGGACTGATCGTCAAGACATGGTTCCCAGCAAATCACTGAAGTCAAGCATTACTGGCTGCGATCAGTGTGCGGGTGGGTCACCACTTGGATCAGTCTGAGTAGGGACCAAGGACGTGCTGTATTGGTCCTCGTTAAAGTGCTCAACTTCGCAAGCAGGTTGTCGGGCTACCAAAGCAGGGGTGCTATCCCCTCTTCAGAGGAATAAAATTGTGATGGCATGTCTTAGGATCATTCTCAGGGATGTTTCCCAGACTGTCGCCTATAGCCCATTGTGCAGCTCTCGTGCGACGTGAATGAACTACAATTACAACAACCTAATCGGGAGAGTTTCCTTTTGAGCAACATTCTTCACGATGTCTACCTTAAGCTCCTGAGATGCCATCCGCAAATAATCTTGTTGATCATCAAGGGGGAAAGAACAAAGATATTACATGCGATGGGGATGCGCCAGGACTTTTCGTTTTACCACCTGCAATATTGGACTATGGTCATGTGGTCACCACAATAGTGATTTGGTAAGTGACTGCAGGACGGTCAAATGTATTGCTTACCGCAGATGGTTATGGTACCGTCGGGAATTTTAATTGAAAATGGTCCTTTTTTTCTTCCTTTTTCAGAATAATGGTAAAAAAAAATGCGGGAAGCCTCTTTTGAGGCTTGGATAGGGTGAAACGCATCATTAAACTTTCTGTAAAGGAATGTAATTACAGACCGACCACGAAACTTGTCTTGAAAGTGGCTGGTGGTATTTTAAATTTCATCTATTCCCTGAACATTAGTTTCTTAAAGAGTCAGAGTTTTATTCCATTTGTTTCATGCAGATGTTGGAGTTTTTCAAGACCAGGTTCTGCCATGAGTTTCACAAGAGCTGTTTGTATCATTGGTTGACAGAGCATCAATGTTGCCCACTTTGCAGAAGAAATTTGTTTCCCTTAGAATATATCTGGTCTGGATTAAATTTTGAACTCGCAAAAAAGTGGGACAGGCCCTAAATAGGGTGCCTGTCCCATTTTGTAACATTCTAGGTATCAATGGTTCATCACTCTAGGTACCATGGAAATTTTTAATTTAAATGCTTGCGAACCTCGTAAAGAAGAATTTAACTTCTAAACATTTGTTTTCCATTGGCTTACAGTTGCATTGCAACCATGTTGGTAGGTATTTTTTTAAGATAGTCTGAACATCAAATTTGGAAAAAAAATTGCATTTTTACTTCAGAATCTCTTGGCATTACATGAAAAAAAAACTTTTCTTTGCCTCAATGAAAGGGAAAAAAAAAATCAAAAAAATTTCACGACCTTTAAAAAATGAAAATTATGTCTGGAAATTTATTAAAAATGTTTGCTCATAAACCCCAGGTATCGCAGGCGTGTCAAATTACCAGCGGGAACATTTGTATTTTTTTCAGCCAAAATTCGGTCGTTTCTTGTTTTTGATTTTTTCCTGCTGCGGTCATGGTGTTCAGGTGTTCTTTTGCGTGACTGTATCCAAGTGCTTTCTCGAATTGGGAGTAATGGAGTCCAGAGAGGCACTTGAAAAGGTCCTTCAGAAGGATGAAATTTTTCAGAAATCCTAGTAATACTTCATTGGTTTTGTTATTCATAACTTGATTCACACCATTTCCAAAAAAATTTCAAACATTATTTAAAACGTTAAATATTTTATCTTCAATTTTTAAACATTTTCTTTTTTTTGTCTGATAAATAAAGTGGGCCATTCTAAAAATTCTAATTTATTGCAAGAAATTAAAGAATTACTTTTGTTAGTCCATACTTTTGTTATCTATAAAATATAGTTGCAAGCAAATTTATATTGTTTATAATATCTTAACTTACTTATATATATGTAAAGTTATGTCTTTAAAGGCTAGATAATTGAAGAGACTTAGGCAGCTACTGTTAAAAAGGCGTTTTATTTCGTTAGATGGAGTATTACAAACATTATGCGTGGGATAATTACATCAGGTTTCCCACTTTGCAGGGAATGTTTGGATTTGGCCCAGCTTTATCTAGCCATTGAAAATATGGAAAAGACACGCAATTTTGCCTGTCCTGAGCTTTTAAAGTGAGATTCTGAGAGGGCGTGGTTGCAAGGATCTTCTTATCTCAATGAAACGTCATTCAATTTATAAAATTTAAAGGTTTTGATTCGCTAAAAGTATCTCGCCACTCTGACGGTGGGAACNCAATACAATATGAAATATCTTTTATCTGGCCTTATCTGGTTCATCTTGACTTTTTATGGCTCTTTGTGAGAGACCGACTTCTACATCTTAAACTTGATAAGAAACATATGTTTTAAGCTTACCAGTTAATATAGAAAGACTCGCATGAGAAATTCTATATTACATCCCCCCCTCTCCAAAAAAATTTTATTTCATTATTAAATTTAGAAAAATTATGGTTAATTACTTGCAACCCTTTCCATCAGAATTTTCTATAAAATTAAAACAAAATACACATTAAATTATCAAATGAAAAGCTTCAAGCAAAACAAAAATAACAAATCTAAAGTAAGAGCTGTGCACAAGAAAACATGCATAGCTATTAAGTATAACATTATGTAATGTTTACATCAAATTATCTTGTATAGGTAATGTATAAAAATTTATGCACACATAAACATATAGCAAAAACATAAACAAAAAGATTTAGAGTCTCTTATCTTATTAAGTATTTTTTTCTTCGAAAAATTCTGTTTAATAACACCACAAAATGCTGTAAGTGAAGATTCTTTTTGTTTTTTAAGTTAATATAAAGAAAACAAATCAAAAATAATAAACTAAAAAACACATAAACAGAATTTCATTATTCACATATATTTCTAAAGTGAATGAAAGAAATAAGAAAAGGACACAAATGTGTCGTTACTGTAGAATTTAATATTCTAGTACCTTTAAGGGCTTGTTACTGGATACAAAATTGTAGTCCCCAAAAGAAGGAGAACAATCCTGTATCTCAGCAATATTGATACGGAAGATCCTATCTTAACGTACACAACAATGAAAAATATTATTTAGTTTTGGTTAGATCATATGAGAATTTCGTCCCCTATTTATTTTGAATTCGGGTAAACACACCCTCTGTAGAAATTTTGAGGG